TCAAATTATCTTCAGCTTATTGTGGACTAGAGGATTTTTATGATGCAAAAAAATTCCATGTTTAGACTTGTCTCCCAAACCTAAAATACTTCATTGTGTAATTGAAAAGATTTCCTCCACCATCACCACCACCCCCACACCAAAATCACACCTCTGAAATCTGAAACAGTTCTGATCCGAAGTGTGCTGGAGAGTTTTTTGTCAACTTGACATAAGCTAGAGTCATCTGGAAAGAGGGAACTTCAACTGAGAAAATGTCTCCCCGACATGGGCCTGCAGTCAAGTCTGTGGGGGCATTTTCTTGATGATTTATGTGGGAGGGCCTAGCCCATTGAGATACATTTTGGACTTACCAAAATAGGATAGATAAGGGAATTATTTTCTCTGATTTGTCAAATACAAATGGACTAGACATTGTTTAGGTATTTGTTACTTGTATATATTGTATATAGTTATTGTACTTTTGTATATAGTTTTTCTTTTGTTAGTTATAACCTTTTGCCTTTTTTCTTTTTATTAAAATAGGAAAGGGGAAATATGGTGGTATTTTATTTGTACTGAAATGTGATTTTTATTGTATGTTAATAAATAAAGTTGCCCGGGGGTCAGAGCTATTAGAGCCATAGCAAGAGCATGGTGGTGGTGGTGGCGGCGGCGGCGGCGGCGGCGGCGGCGGCGGCGGCGGCGGCGGCGGCGGCAGCAGCGCACGCCTTTAAAACCATAGATCTCTGTGTGTTCAGGGATATAGCCAGCATTGGAGACATACGCCTTTAAGACCTGGAGGGCTGTACATACAGACAGTGACGAGGCAGTCACGTGTTTGGGTTTACAACCAATGAGAAGGCAGAACAGAAAGACTATTTAAAGACAGACACACAGGAAGTAGCTCTCTTTCGGGGAGGTAGGAACACCGCAGGAGGTAAGATTTTAGCTCTGAGCTCTGACCTCTCGGCTTTCTCTTTTACACTGGTTCTGTGTTTCTTATTTTAATAAGACGGTTGGTTACATCTATACATTGTAGGTATCACCCCTAGGCCTGGGTTGTATAAAAAAGCAGGCCGAGCAAAGCATGGGGGAGCAAGTCAGAGGCAGCACTCCTCCATGGCCTCTGCATCACTTCCTGCCTCCAGGTTCTTGCCTCTAGGTTCCTGCCATGACTTCCCTCCATGATGAACTGTAAACTATTACGATGGAATAAACTTTTCCCTCCCACGTTGCTTTTGGTTGTATTTATTACAGCAGTCGCACTAGGACAGAAGTCGGTACCAGAACCCGGGCTATTGCTGTGAAAAACATGTTGTTTTGGGGAGGACTGTGGAAGTGTCTGGAAGCTTGGGTTGGAAAAGCCATTGAGTGCTCGGACCTTAAATGGGCCATGCCGTGGGAGCGGAAGAATGCTGAAAGCAAGCTGGTGAGCTCCCTCACGATCTCGGCTTCCCTCAATAATGGACTGCGATCAGAACGTGTAACCCAGATAAGCCCTCTCCTCTCCCAGTGCCTTTGGGTCTGGCCTTTATCATATCATAAAAAATAGAGCAGGACAGCAATTGGTACTGAGAGTAAGGACTAGTCACCCCACACCAGCTTCAAAGGTGAGTATAATTCATATATGAAACCTGTTCTCTAAAAAGAACACACATCACATGCTGCAAACAGTGGAATAAAGGCGCCAATCAGAATACCGAGCAGGATGTGGCTCAACTGGTAGGGTTCTTGCCAAACAGGCATGGAGTCTATCATATGTCCTACTCCCAGGAAAGCATAAACTGGGGTGGGGATACATGCCTGTAATCCAGAAGGACTGTAAGTTCAAGGCCATCCTCAGTCACATAGGGAGTTCACAAGGGCTACATGAGACTGTCTTTTAAAAAAAAAAAAAGACTAATAAAACCATAAATATTGATCCAGTATATCACTAATAACCTACTATTTACACTAGACTAACAGCTTTTATTCATTCAGTCCAGATATTTCCTTATGTGCACAGTCTAGGTATAGGAGATACACATGTGGACAGGACACAGGGCCAAGAGGTGGTCAACTGAGGCAAGTGCTAGAGGTGTCAGAACTTTGCAATGTAGGGCCCAGGGTTTCTGGACCTTGGAACTTCTGAAAATTTGGGCCAAATAATTCTTTGCTGTGAGGGCTGGCCTGGGTACCCCAGGATTCTAAGCAGCAACCCTAACTCCCACCTACTGTATGTCAGTATCATCCCTTCCCAGTTTTTACCACCAAAAATATCTATGTATGTCTCTGGACTTTTTGCTTTGGAGACAAACTCACTCCCAGTTGAAAAACACTGCCTTAGATTATGAAATGGAAGGCAGGGTCACACTGGGCTCCACGTCACATCAAAGGTGGGGTGCACGGTTTGGCTTTCATAGCTTTCCCGTCTAGAGACTGTACTAGTATACCCTGCAGGGTGGAATGAGAATGCGGTGGGCCACCTCTACGCATACCTCCTATGTCCTGCCTCTCTCCAGGTTCACTTAAGGGATGAAAGATCCCGATTTTGTTTCCTCGAGACAGGGTTTCTCTGTGTAGCTTTGGCTGTTCTGGAACTCACTTGGTAGCCCAGGCTGGTCTGGAACTCACAGAGATCCACCTGCCTCTGCCTCCTGAGTGCTGGGATTAAAGAAATGCACCACCACGGCCAGGCCAAAAGGACCTTATTTTTAATTTTCAAGATTTGTTTATTTTTACTTTAGGAGTGTTTTGCCTGCATGTATGCATGTGTATCACATGCATGTCTGGTACCCACAGAGGGCAGAAAAAGGCGCTAGATCCCCTGGAACTAACTGGAACTACAAAGAGTTGTGAGCCACCTGACACGCACTTCAAGTTCAGCCAGTGCTCTTAACCACTGAGCCATCTGTCCAGCCCTGGAAGGGTATCTCTATTTGTTTGCTTCTTTACTTTTTATTGTTTTCTATGTTGAGTTCAGACTTGGACCTTATCAGTTTGCAGTGAGAATCAGACTGCTCAGATATTCTCCTCCAGGAAGGACATCCCTAAGAGAGACCATAGCAGCCTTGAGATATCTACACTGACTTGAGATCGGCTTCTCAACAATTCAGGACAATGATCAAAGAGCTACCCTGGAGATTCAGTTGAAGAGTGTGTTACAAACAGTTTGTTCTCCGTAAAGGTACTCTGTTGAGAAACTGTAACATATAATTCAATTTGCTTCTAGTTTCCCTCCTATAAAACACCAATTTAAAATGTATAAAACGGGCTGGAGAGATGGCTCAGTGGTTAAGAACATGGGCTGTTCTTCTGGAGGTCCTGAGTTCAATTCCCAGCAACCACATGGTGGCTCACAACCATCTGTAATGAGATCTGGTGCCCTCTTCTGGCCTGCAGGGATACATGCAGGCAGAATACTGTGTACATAATAAATACATAAATCTTAAAATACAAAACAAAACGTATGGAACAAAAACTTTATATATAAACTATAAAATTCCTTTAAGGAACTTCTTGATTTTTTTTAAAAAAAGTTTTATTTAATGACTAGACAGGCTCTCATCATGTATCCCTGTTGGCTTTGAACTCACTGTGTAGCCCTGGGTGCTGGGATCATAGGCACTCACCACCACACACTACTCCCCAACCTTTAAGTTTCTGTCAGTTTACAAAAGCGGGCAAGCTGCCATAAAAGGTACACGAGAACAGCCTCAGTTGTACCACACCAGAGGCAGGCGCTCAGTTTCCACACAGACGCCTGCCTGCTCACCATCCTCACTTTTTCAGAATGAGCAAGTGGAAGCTCATGGAGGTTCAGCACCTCTTCCAGTGGTAATGAGTGGTCAGGTTAGGATTTAAGGCCACGGTCAGTTCCATCCCTCCACGAGGCCCCTAACTTTATAAAACAAACGGAGAACTCTAATTCCTGCCCTCAGAACTCCTATTAAAATAGAACTACAGGAAATCATTAAGACACACAGGACAAGGGAGACACTACCCCTCCTTTCCTGCTTTAGAAAAAGGATTCTGCTTTTGTAGCAGATGCTACAATGCACAGCACCTCACTGCCAATCCTTCAACCACACGGAATAACACTGGCCCCATCTTCTCACAGACCATTTATATAGTAAGGGTCTGAGTAAAAGTACAGTTTGCACTACCCTATAAGTAGGTATGCTATACACACACACACACACACACAAGCTTAGAAAAAAATTTCCTCACTGGGGTGATGTTAAGGTTATTAAAGCCGGGCGGTGGTGGCGCACGCAGTTAATCCCAGCACTCGGGAGGCAGAGGCAGGCAGATCTCTGTGAGTTCGAGGTCAGCCTGGTCTCCAAAGCGAGTTCCACGAAAGGCGCAAAGCTACACAGAGAAACCCTGTCTCGAGGCGGGGTGTAAATGGTGCAGGCGCCCTTAATCTCAGCACTGGGGAGGCAGAACAAGGTGGGTGGATCTGAGTACGAGGCCAGCCTGGTCTACACAGCAAGTTCCAGGCCAGCCAAGGCTACAACAACACACACACACAGTGTATGTCCTACTTGATTTTGGAGCTCCTTTGAGGAGCAGCAAATGCGACAGAAAGTAGGGACAAAAGATGGGTGAGGGCTGCGGTGGGACAGGAATCTAGTCATTCTCAGGTGCCCTGGGGCGACACCGAGCGGCGGCCGGAGATACACCTGCGAGGCGCAGCAGGTTGGCCAGAGCTCCAGGAAGCTGGGGGGCTGGGGTTCCTCCCTCCCTCAGCTCGCGCAGGGTACCCGAGGCCTGGGGAAAAGCGGGCCGCCCGAGACAGGTGCACCCGCTGAGCCAGGGCTTTGCTGGAGAGAGAGGTGCAAGGCGGTCATGCAACCCATGCGGACCCACTGGGGTCCGAGAAGCCAGCCGCACCCGCGGGGCGGGGCCTCGCGGAGGTGGGCGGGGTTAAGACGCGCGAGAAGGGCGCGGTCTCCGGAAACCTGGGAGCCCGAATCAGTCTCGAGCCGCCGGTCGCTCCGGACGGTAAACCTAGTCAGCTCTATGTATTTCCCTACCTGTCGGCGAGAGAAAAGAGCAGTCCCTGGCTGCAGCACCCGAGAGCCGCAACGCTGGCACAGCACCGCCTTCCGGTTCCGGCCCTCGGCTGACACTAGCTCGTTCTGCAGCTCAGCCGGTTCCATCGCCGCGCCGCCCCAGCATGGACCACCACGGCGCACGCGCGGTCTGGGTGCGCTCACCCGGAACTACGCTGGCGCGGCTCCGCAGGGGCGGGGCGCCCGGCGCCCCTCGCTGGACCTCTGCGCAGGCGTCTGGACTCTATTGCGCAGGCGCCTTTATTTCTTTGCCGGACCGAAGTGTCAGCGTGACTTTGTGACAAATCCTTTTTCTGTGTATCCACCTGGTCACCGCGCCTCCCTTAATAGTGGCCTAGGCAAGTCACTATGGCTGCCTTACCACTTAGTTCTCCGACATTTTCATTGCCTCGACAATCCGGCTCAGACCACACCTCAACAACATTTAGCTACAAGACACTCACTTCCTATGTAGGAAGCCGTGTAGAATGCTGAGTATATTTCGTGTTGGAAAAGTTGCGTGGAAATCTTAAGCCTAGTGTCGAACAGTGGACATTTATTAGGCACCAAAGCGTTTTTACAGTGCTTTTGAACACATAGTCATGGGGCTGGAGAGATGGCTCAGCGGTTAAAAGCTCTGGCTGCTCTTCCAGAGGTCCTGAGTTCAATTCCCAGCATCCACATGGTGGCTCACAGCCATCTGTAATGAGATCTGGCGCCCTCTTCTGGCCTGCAGACATACATGCAGACAGAACACTGTATACATAATAAATCTTTAAAACAAAAACGTAGTCATCTTAGAGGGTTTGCCCTCAGGCACAGTGCATGAAAGCAAAGAAGTCTACAAACGAACAGGGCGTTCCAAAGCCACGGCTCTTAACTTTCTAACTGATCTTTGTATCCTATTCTAGTTATAGGTTTCCCAAGACCACCAGAAGGACATCAAAATGAAAACAATTAAGCCACCTTATTGTTTAAAATGCGCAGCCTTGGCTTGCTTCCTTAGTTCCACATTACACGATGGGAATTGTGTATTGTGAGAATATGGCCCCAGAGGGTTGCAGACTCTAATCTCATAGGACAACAACAAAGTACTACCAGTGAGTCATGGAGTGGCTCTGTTTAGGGAGTTAGGTTTTTATCTGTGACTTTTTTTTTTTAACATTTTTTTTGTGTGTGTTTTGCCTGCATGAATGTTAAGTATAGCGTGTGAGTGCTGATGCCCGTGAAGGCCAGAAGAGGGCACTAGATGTCTGGAACTGGAGTTAAGCCTTGTAAGCGCTGTGTGGGTGCTGGGAACCCAGCCTACATCCTCAGAGAACCAGCACTCTTAACCACTGGCCCATCTCTCCAGCCCCCACCAGGTGGCATTTTGATTAGGAATTAGGATTGTCAGGAGAGCAAGACTTCAGAATGAGATTACATTCTCCAGTGACCGAAGAAAGACTGCAGAGGAGCAACATGAGGCACAAAGCTACACAGAGAAACCCTGTCTCGAAAAACCAAAAAAAAAAAAAAAAAAAAAAAGAAGAGCAACATGGTAGAATACGCCCCTCAACACCATGGATCCGATGCACGTTAAGGAATTTGAACTTTCTAGTACAAGAAATGTGACTCTATGGAACTTCAGGACACAACTTCAATATTGACCAATAATTGGCTGTATATTAAGTACTGCCATGGTCACATCTGAATTTCAGAAAGAGCTGATGACAGAAAGGCTGTGGTTCGATTAGCAGGTACAATCCATCTGCCAGACAGGCCGAAGGACTTTATCCTCTTGTCCTGCTTTCCTTTGGAACCAACAGTATTGTGGTTTTAGCTAATATGGTAGAGTACGCCTTTAATCCCAGCACTGGGGAGGCAGAGGCAAGTGTGTTTCTTCCAGTTCCAGGCCAGCCTGGTCTACACAGGAGGTTCTAGGACATCCAGGGCTGCACAGTGAGATGCTGTGTCAAGATGTCTTACAGTTGTGTGGCAGGCCCTCGCACAGGTGTTGTATGATCACACGCCATTTAATGAATCAAAGACAACTCCTAGGGTGACGGAAAACCCACAGTTCACACGGGTGCTCAAGTGTGCTCAAGGCTGTTCCTTCTGTATCCCTTTTGTTTGTCTTTTGGGTTTTCCAGACAGGGTTTCTTTGTGTAGTCCTGGCTGTCCCGGAACTTGCTCTGTAGATCAAGCTGGTCTCAAACTCAGAGATCACCCACTTGTGTCTCCTGAGTGCTGGGACTAAAGGTGTGCAAGGTGTGCGCGACAACCGCCTGGCTCCTTATCTTTTGTTTTCAAGTAGATTCCAAGTGTGAAAGAGGCCAATAAAGCAGGCAAATTCAGGCAAGCACTTCACTGACGTTTCAGATCTACCAAAGCAGCAGCCGAGTTCATTAGCAAGCACAAGGAAAAGAGGCTGGAAGGTGAGACCAGGAGCTGCTCTTTCTCCTGTCCCCCAACATGTGTGCTGAAGGCGGCACCAGCCACACATTCTCTTGAAGCCATTTGAGACAGTCCATTTTTAATATTTTATTAAAAAAATACAAAGGAAATTAACTCTGTAGGCCAACACAATTAGGGGAATGAGGGAAAAGTGGAATTCCAGAGCAAAGGGAAAATAAAATGCAACCCAACTTAGGCTATCACATTCCCATATTCGCTGCAACAATAACGCAGGGATTTCACCCCATGACAGAGAGGAGCCTTGAAGGGCAGCTCGGAAATGCTGGCAGAGGCACAGGAACGAACCAGAGTCTCAGTTGTCCTTGATTATTCTGTCCCAGGATGAATACAACCCCTCTCCAGACAGGTTGGGAAATGTAGCGGCAGAGAGCTGAATGTAGCACACACAGCAGCAGTAAGCACTCCTTAGCAGAAGTGTGCCCTTCAGACAACAGGGCGGTGACGGGAACCTCAGCTACCAGGCTGCAGCCACCCACCCAGCCCCGAATAAATAGTGTGGAAGTGTCGTCATGTGGTAGCACTTGAGTCACCACCACGCTGCTCCCTCACCCAGTCAGAGACCGACACTGCCACAGCTACACCAGCCGGTTGTCAAGTCGCAGGTACTTCTGTTTGCCACAGGAAGATTGAACTCTGTACATTTACAGCATCTCTTATTCTAACCCCCCCACACACCACACTGTTAATCTCTCAGTTTCCAGTGCCAAGATGGTACATTAGAAAGACCCTGGGGTCAAGTATGTCCTCTCCAGCCTTCCAGCCTACACTTCAGTGATCTTCTGGGTTCACTCACATTCCATTCAGTTCATGCCACTTTTCAAATCTCTACATCAACCAAGTCCTCCTAAGTGAGACTAGCATCAATCTTTCCTCTTGGCCTTTCAAATTTTAACAGTGATCTCTTGGTTTCCTCCAGAAAGGGAACTGTGGTGGCTGGAGCTACCTTTCTATTTAGAAAAGATATTTTTGCTTCTGGGGGGGTTGGGTAGTGAGTTTCATTTTACCAAACTTATGCAGTTGATATCCTTCCAATCACCTAGAATGGACAATGCCCACACCTAGCAGGCTATACTCACCTTAATTCTCTGCAATATATGAAGCACGCGCACACGCACACGCACAGACACACACACACACACACACACATCCATTCATCCTCCCAAGCACTTGATAAGTTAGGAACAGGAAGAAAATGCTCCTCAGGTTTCGCACATCCAAAGGTGCACTCTTCCCTTGAGTACCTGTTGTTACCCACCCTTCGGAGCAACATTACCACTGCGAAGGAGAGTGTGTTCAAACAAGTACAATCGTCATAGCACTGGTGCCTGTAATCCCCGTGCACACAGTGAGATAGAAACATTCGGAAAGGATCCTTGATTCTCCCACAAACTGTTCCTTGGAGTACTCATTGGCTCCAGCTGGTGTTCAGTAAGTTACTTTTCTCGAAGCACACACACACCAGCATCGCAACGCTGGGTTCCCATGGAGGCCACTACTTCCCAGCTGTCGATGATAGGGTCGTAACACTCAATGCTACTCAGCAGAGAATTCCCATCGTATCTAAGTGGGGAAAAAAGAAACAAAAGAGAGAGGTCGTCATTCCTTTACACACCAGTCCTGCATTTAAAGTAGTCCTATCCCTGGAGCTGGTAGTACAGCTCAGCAAGGGGGCGCCTGCTACCATAGGCCAGGTTCAAGTCCCAGCACCCGGGGTAGGAGTGGAAACGGCCCCAGCAGTTGTTCCCCACAACACACTATGCCTCCTTCCAAACGGAGATGGGGTCAAATGGATTCTCCCCTTGGCTACATGATTCCACCCACTTTCCACATTCTCACCCTGCAATTGCATAGAGCCTCCCCCGAAGCACTGTGGCCCCTACGTAGCACCGTGGAGTGGTCATACTCGTGACGGTTGTCCAGGAATCAGTGCGAATGTTGTAAGCTTCAACAGAAGAGAGGTGGGCTGTGCCATCAAAACCCCCCACCACATAAATATGGTCATTCAGTAGGGCTACTCCAGCACCTGGGGAAAAGAGAGAGGAGGAGCAAATGAGTGGCCTAAGCCTAGCATCTGAACCCAGTAACGAAACACGTCGCCAACAGCTGAACCGTGGGCAAGATGAGGGACGCAGATGTAAGCAAACCAGGCCTAGAAGAGTGTAATACAGCGAACGTCACTGCACGCCTTGGTAAACCCTTTGGCTGGGACTGGAACTTATAACCCAAGACAGACACGGTTCTCTGTTTGCTGTCACTAACTCACAGTCCATCTCTCTTCGGTCGGCTGAACAGAGCAGTGGGGAAGAGGTGTCAGTAATGGTGAAAGCAGCAGAGGGCACGGCCATGGCTCTGCACAGTGTTCGCTCTGTTACATCACAGCCTGTTCCCTATCGGAGCTCTCAGGTGCTCAGGGATGTACCTCTACGGTGGCACACTTGCCTAGTACATGCAAGGTCCTGTGTGCAGTACTCAGAATTAAAAAAAAAAAAAGATTTCATTCTTAGGTATTAAGAGATCTTAGGGGCAGGAAAGATAGCTCAGAGGTTAAGAGCACTGGCTGCTCTTCCAAAGGTCCTGAGTTCAATTCTCAGCAACCACATGGTGGCTCACAACCATCTGTAATGAGATCTGGTGCCCTCTTCTGGCCTGCAGGGATACGTGCAGGCAGAGCACTGTATGCATAATAAACAAACACATCTTTTAAAAAAAAGAGATCTTAGGTGATTTATTGCCGTTTATTTATCAGGTGTATGGCACACATCTGCAACCCCAGTCAGTGTGCACTACATACCACATACAGTGAGATCTTAGCGTAAAATAAAACATCGATGTGGTGGTGTAGCTGGAAGCCAGGGCAGGAAGACCACCTCACAGCAAGTTGTATACCAGCCAGGACTACACAGTAAGACCCTCAAAACTAAGTCCAGGAAGGCAAGGTGGTGGCGCACACCTTTAATCCCAGCACTCGGGGGCAGAGACAGGCGGATCTCTGAGTTCAACGCCAGCCTGGTCTACAAAGTGAGTTCCAGGACAGCCAGGGTTACACAGACAAACCTTGTCTCAGGGAAAAACAAAACAAAACAAAACAAAAAAACAATTCCAAAGAGTTAAAAAAGCAAAGACACAAAACTCAACACAACAGAAATATTTATTTAAACATGTACTACACATACAAAATTATGCTAGATAGACAAGAATGCAAGAATAGAAAAAAGTACTAAAGAATGAGTAAGAAATTTCTGTCCTGTCCTCAAATTTATAATCTAGTTCAAGGTTTAAACTTTGTCCTAATATTTAGAAAAAAGAGGTGAAAGAGTCAGGAATGGGCCTCCTATCTACAGCAAGTCTGGTGAAGGGAGAACTACGGTTCTACCCTGCCGACACACAGCCTGTACCCAAACCAACACTGCACACGTCAGGACTGTTGGCACTTTGTCCCCTCTGAGCCTCGGTCTTACCAGAACGTTTGGTGGCCATGGGTGTAACGTTAGTCCAGTGTCCTGTGTGGGGATCATATTTCTCAACTGAATTTAATATATTCAAGCCATCATATCCTCCTGAAAGACAGAGCAAAGAGTGAACATTCTGGGAAGAAAGGTAGATGCTCAGGCATGTTTTAACTGGCCTTCTGTGAGTGATTCAACTGAGTCAGTGTAGTTCTTCCAGAGGTCCAGCTCAAAGAATACTGAACATCCTACATCTTGCTTACAAGAAAAAAATAATCCTGTTCATGGATAACATATTGGGATAGACCAGAGTTCTTGCAGACGCAAGTGTATGCACTTAATTCTGGTAAAATGATGCCTCTCTCCATCCCACATCCCAGACTCATACCTAGACAGTAGATTATTCCGCTGGCCACTACTAGTCCTGCACCCTCTCGAGCTGTCTGCATATCTCCCAGCATGCTCCACTGATCAATGTTTGGGTCATACCGCTCCATACTTGTATGACGCCTGCTTCCATCAAAGCCTCCAGAGACGTAAATCATATCTGCTCAGAATGAACAAATTAGACTATTAAGAATAAAGAACCATTGTCTCTACAAATTACCCATTACCCATTGTTAAGATGCGGTGGGGGACCCACACATGGATGTAATCACAGCCCTGGGGAGGTTCAGGCAGGAGGACCAGGAGTGCAAAGCCATTCTTACAATGTACCTGATCATGTCAATTCCCATTCCTCCCAGGGCCATCCTTCCACCCTTGTGCCCCCTGAAAAAACATTTAAGAAAAAAAAAAAAAATACACCAGGTACAATTTGTGTTGGCCATATACTCATTGGCAAATGGTGAAATTCCCAGTGGCCACTCCTTAAAGAAAACTGAGTCCTTTCCCAGCTCTCTGATAGAAGCCATCAACTGTGAAGAGCTACATTTCAGCATCTTTATAATAAATTTTTCAAAAATTTATTTATTCATTCATTTTTCAAAACAGGGTTTCTCTGTGTAGCCCTGGCTGTTCTGGAACTCACTCTGTAGGCCAGGCTGGCATCAAACTCACAAGAGATCCACCTGCCTCTGCCTCCCAAATGCTAGGATTAAAGGCGTGCACCACCACTGCCCAACCAAATTTATTTATTTTTATTTTATGTACATTTGTGTTTTGCCTGTATGTATGTTTGTGTGAGGGTGTTGCATCCTGAAGTTACAAAAGACAGTGGTGAGCTGCCATGTGGATGCTGGGAATTGAACTCTGGTCCTCTAGAAGAACAGCCAGTGCTCTTAACCACTGAGCCATCTCTCCAGCCCTTTTATCACAAATTTTAAGGACTCTCTTCAATGGCTTCCTGTCTAGACGGTTTCTTTTCTTTTTTGGGGGTGTGTGGGGTGCGGTCAAGTCCATTTTTGACTATAGACTAAGTTTAAGGCCAGCATGAGCTACATGAGATCTTATCCCAAACAAATAAATTTCTTGGTATTTCTTCAAATTGACTTTTATTATTATTTCTTAAATTTCCCATTACGTATATAAGTTGTATATGGTACTGTATGATACTACATAAGGACATTATTGTAAAAGTATATTTTGTACTCTGAACATTTTCCCCTTATGTGGTAAGTCAGTTAAGTCTCAGAAGCAAGAAACATAGTATAACCAAGACATTTGAAGCCTGGAATGGAGGCTGGAGAGATGGCTCAGTGGTTACCCTTCCAGGGGACCCAGGTTTGAGTCCTTGCACCTACATGGTGGGTCACAAGTGTCTGTAACTCCGGTTGCAGGGGATCTGACACCTGTCCTGGCTTCTGGGGCACTGCTGTCATGTGATGCATACACAAAATGGAGCTACAACACTCACACACATAAAATAAAAGCCTGGTACAGTGGCTCAGGCACGAAGACCACAGGTTTGAGACCAGGGTGGGCTACACAGTGGTATTTAGTGAATCCTGCCTCAATTAAAAAAAAAAAAAAAAAAAAACCTAGTCTAAAGCCAGAAGGCTAGGGTGTGGTGACACAGAGTGCTGAAATCCCAGCACTAAATAGGGCTGAGGCAGAGGTGGGTGGATTATGAGTTTAAAGTCAATCTTATCATATAGTGAAACCGTTTCAAGAGGAAAAAAAGAAAAACAGAAACAAAATGCAAAAATAACCAAAAAAGAAAAATGGCGTATGATGACATACTTAAAAATACTTAAAAGCATTTGAAGACTACCAAATGGAGTTTATAAAACTATAACCAGTGTCTACTACCTATGGCACACTAGAACTTGAACAGTCAACTTTAGCCAGTGTTGACATGTCCACAAACAGTGCGTATGTCAGTTACCCTGACATATCTAAAGCAAGAACGAGCATTTGAACTCAGATACCTCTCCTCATATGCCAGACAGCACAAGAGCTAAGAACACAATCCAGCTGAAAGAAGACGAAAACACCATTTGCCATCAGACCTACCTCCCAGCGTGGTGGCTCCAGCAAGGCCTCGCCGCACATTCATAGGGGCCACGGAGTACCAGACTCCGTCCTCATCCGCTGTGTAGTCTAGACATTCCACTGAACTGAGGCGGGAACGGCCGTCATACCCGCCGATCACATAGATCCGGTCATGTAAGGAAACCGAGGCTACATACCGTCTTTTCCGGGTGATACTCTACGGATTTGGGAGAGAGGAGAAATAGAGCGTTTCAGCTGGGCAAGCTCCAGCCCCTGCCTTTTCTTTCAGCACCCCGCCTGTTTTCAATCTTCTTTGCTTCTTCCTTGCCACCAGAAACCTCCTTTCGGCTAAGGTTCATCCCAAAGGGGCTGGAAGGCGACTGCCTACAGAGTGAAATCCTTCTGCCTCACTCCAAGGTTTACAGAAGACTTCATGGCTTCCTGCTGTCTTCTCTCTTTAGGCATTGGGCTAAAAGACTGAATAGCCGTCCATAGGAAAAGTACTGGCAGATGGCTAGTCTGAGAGCCAGGACTGAAATACCCTGAAGAGTAGTCTCCTCGGAGATGGTTCTTGTTTATGCAGTACTGAAGGGAGACACAAACTTACCATTTCAGTTAGACTTAAGACCCTGAGTTCAGTTAGTACAGCAGGAGCCAGAGCACAAGCTGTTCCGTCTACACTGAGCTGGGTGTGGTGGTGGTACACATGCCTATAATGCCAGCATTTATCAGCCAGCAAGACCCTAGCTCAAACAACAGGCCAGCTGTGGAGGCTCACATGTGTAACCCTGGCACTAAGGAGGCCGAGGAAGAAAGAAAGCCTGTACGTCTGAGGCTAGCCAGGCTACATAGTGAGACTCTGTCTCAAAAAGGGGGTGGCGGTGCTGGAAAGATGGCTCAGAGGTTACGAGCACTGGCTGCTGGCTGCTCTTCCAGAGGTCCTGAGTTCAATTCCCAGCAACCACTTGGTGACTCACAACCATCTGTAATGAGATCTGGTGTACTCATCTGATGCTCTGTTCTGGCGAGTGGGTATACATGCAGACAGAACCCTGAGTACATAATAAATCAATCTTTAAAAAAAGAAAAAAGCCCAGCAAGATGGTTTGGTGAGTAAAGGTACTTGCTGCCAAGGCTGATGACCTAAGTTTGATCCCTGAAAGATCTCTGACCTCCACACACATGCTGTGGCATAGGCATGCTCACATGTGTGGACACACATTTAAAAAAAAAGTAGTAAGAAATAGTAAAAAACCAAGAAACCACTACCACCCAAAGAAAAGCAAGCCAACCATTTACTGGATACCTAACTATACAGACAACATGGCCATAAGGGGCATTAGGCTGTCCGAAGCTTTTCTACTCTGAAAGCTGATCATTTATGCTCTAGTGTCTAGTGTCAGGAACCAATGACATTTAAGCTCTGCTGAAAAAGGTCCCACCACGACTTACTGGCAGGAAGCTCCACTCCTGTGTCTTGGGGTCATATTTCTCTACCACATCGATAGGAGACTGCTGGCTTCCGAAGCCCCCAACCACCAGAAGCACTTCGTTGGCTCCTAAGGACAAAGGCAGGAAAAGGCAGGTTACTTCACCCTGGCTGGGTAACTACTTACAGGGAAATGTAAGGAGAAAGGGTCAATAGGTTACGAAGTTGTTTGGTGGCACTAGGAATGTACCTAGGGCCTCAGCGTTCTACCGCTAACCTGTAACCATTCCTACCCCACAACTAACACTTTTTATTTCAAGACAGGGTCTCGCTAAGTTGCTCGGGCTGACCTTGGACTCACTCCATGCATAATCAGGCAGATCTTGACCTTTCCAGCCTTGTCTCAGTTTCCCAGTTACCTTACAAACCTGTGCCACCTGGCCGAGCTAGGATGCCTTAGTATTTGCCTGAAAAATAATCTAAAATAGGGCTGTGTAATAGGAAGGTATCTATTTTTATTCTGTGTATCCATGTATTTGAGGGTGTGTGTGTGTGTGTGTGTGTGTGTGTGTGTGTGTGTGTGTGTGTGTGTGTGTGAGGTTGTTTATGTAGCTTTGGAACCTGTCTGGGAACTCACTCTGTAGCCCAGGCTGGCCTCGAACTCACAGAGATCCACCTGCCTCTGGGATTAATGGCATGTGCCACCACACCCGGCTTCTGTCTTATTCTCTGGGACAGTCTTAGCGCCACAATTAGACTGAACAGGCTCACCAGCATCCCAGGCCTCCCTCTGCCCACTGCAGCACCCGGCTCACAGGCTCCCGTGCCTGCCGTGTTCCCAGGGTGCTGGGAACCACACTGGGTTCTCGGCCTGTGCAGCACTTCAGCAGCTGAGCCACGCCCCCTGCTACCTCAGCAAAGTGTTTCTTTCTGAGGCTCTAACTCTGCAGAGTCTGAATCTTTGAAATGCACTTATCCAGCATAAAATAAAATCCTGGGCCCCCAAGATGGCTCCATGAGTGGGGACATTTGCTACTAGCCCTGATGACTTGAGTTCAACCCCCAGAAACTAGTTGGTGAAAAGATAACCGACTCCCACAAGTTGTCCACATGTGCAACCCCAACACACTAAATGTTAAAAAGAACAAAGGAAGAAAGCCGCTTTCTTTTCTTATGGAAAGTAACAGCCTAGATATCAAACGTTCCTTCCCCTATAGTCTTATTTCTGGCCATGGCTTGCTTTAAAGGGCAGTCTTGGCAGAGTTCTCCTGGGCATCTACTCTATAAACTCACAAGGAGAACAATTTGTCGCACTGGACAATTCAGTGATTAAGTGGGCTTGTAAACATGATGTTAGGCTAGGTGGCGGCGGCGCACACTAATCCCAGCACTCGGGAGGCAGAGGTAGGTGAATCTCTGTGAGTTCGAGGTCGGCCTAGTGTACAGGACAGGCAAGGCTACACAGAGAAACCCTGTCTCGGAAAAAAATGAACAACAAACATCATGTCAGTGTTATAGGTGGCCAGGGACTGATGGCAAGTACCAGGCCTGACAGTTAACCTGTTTTGCTCGGTTCCTCTCCACCCCCACCCCTTTCAATTCCCAAAGAAAGACAGGCCAAGTTTCAGTGTGTTCCACAGCCTGGTCTCCACCTCCTGAACTCAAGTGATTCTCCCACCTCAGCATGTACACCTCACCGCACATCTGGCTAAAACATGTTAAATGACACTCTAAGGATATGATCAGAAAAATTCAGTAAGTTTTCCACTGATTTTTCAGCCATTACTTATGTTACACTATGTAATTCCCACATTTAAAAACCAACAAGCAAACCATATCAGAAGCAGGCAGACCTCTGTGAGTTCGAGGCTAGCCTGGTCTGTCTCAAAAATAAAGAAAACCAAAACGACAACAACAAAATGCCACAACATTCTTTTGATGTGACTTCATTCAGGCAGCTTGTAAAGTATAGAAAACCAAAAGCAGACAGGAAACAGATGTTGCTGTAAACCCTGAAAAATGGCAGCAGGGTCTGTCAACCTAAAACTGCTCCATAAATAGTCAAGTTCGCAGTAGAATTTGGGCACAGACGTCAGGGTGAGTCACTTTAGTTTTTGGTTGAGACAGCTTTGTCACGTAGTCCAGGCTAGTCTCAAACCCACCCCTCTGCTTCTACCTCTCAAGGTCAGAGACTATAAGCATGTGTCACTCTGCTATAAAGGATGTCACTATTTTCCACAGACAGAGCCTGTTTTAAGGGACTGTCACTGAGGCTTCAGAGATGGCTTAACTGTTAAAGGCTAGGCTAGGCTCACATCCAAAGAGATAAGACAGCTAACAAGGTAAGCTCTGTTAAATTCCAGTAACAGCCAGCCAGAAAAACCTTTTTCTTGGGGGAGAGGTAGGAAGGAAGGAGATGGACAGGGTCTAGGTATGTAGCTCAGGATGGCCCCAATCTTGCGATTTTCCCTGCTTCAACATCTCAAGCACTGGGAACACAGGTGTATACTACTATGCCGGTGGTTTTGTTGTTGTTGTTGTTTGTTGTTGTTGTTGTTGTTGTTGAGAACAGGTCTCTTGGTGTAGTTTCTAGGTGGCCTGGAACTCACTATGTTGACCAGGCTGGTCACAAACTCAGAGAGATCCCCTGCCACCACACTCAGTGTCCGATGATTTTTATCTTTTATTTTTTGGTACTTGGGATTGAACCCAAGGCCCTCACATATACTGGGCAGGTGCTCTCTCACTGAGCTACATCTCTAGTTGGTTTCTTGTTGCTGTTGTTTGTTTTGGTTTTTTGAGACAGGGTTTCTGTAGCCCTGGCCATCCTGGAACTCTCTCAACAGACCAAGCTGGCCTTGAACTCAGAGATTCCCTTCCCTATGCCTGAGTGCTGGGGTTAAAGGTGTGCGCCACCAGTGCCCGCAGTCATCTCTAGTTATTTGTGAACTTGTATTCTGCAGCACAGAGTGCCTGAATTCATTCGGCAGACCAGTGTGGTCTTGAATTTAAAGAGTCCTTCCTGCCCCAGCCTCTTGAGTAGCTGTGATTATAGGCCGACACCACCAGGCCAGGCCAGTTTTCTACCTTCTTGATGGAAGAGCATGTCTAGGTCACCTGGCAAGATTTATGTGTAATCTGGTGCATGCCTTTAAAAAATCAAAAGCAATCTAATCAAAAATACCTTCAGCAACTTCCTCAAAGCTAAGAATCACATAAAACTAAATCTAATTCCTCAAGGTCAGAGCAATAGGCAGTTTTCTGACAGTTCTGATCTGCAAAATATTTAAAGAAATGAAGAAAATGAACCTCTAGAGAATCTTCTGTGTTTCCTGGCTCATGAAAATCTTCATTGGCTTTAGTTCAATTTAACAAGCAATTAATGAATGTTATTACATAAAAAAATACCATGTATATTCAAAAGCACCCCAGTGAGTGAACTTAACTTACTTTATGTGGATAAAAAACTGGTGGCTTAGAGAAAGAACACTACCCACAGAGCAGGTTTCTAGAGAATTTACAAAATTAGGAGGAGAGGTGAGGGATACAGCTGAGTGGAACAGACTTGGCCAGCATGCCCAAGGCCCTGGGTTTGATCCCTATCCCCACAGAAGAGAAGAATGAAAATAAACACAATACAAATATAATAGAAATTAGGAACAGAGGTCAGATGATACAGAACGCCTTCTCGTGCCAGTTCTTCCTGCTCAACCACTGCTCATGTACTATTCTAGAAATACTATTACTATTTTTGGGCTGGAGAGATGTCTCAGAGGTTAAGAGCACTGGCTGCTCTTCCAGAGGTCCTGAGTTCAATTCCCAGCAACCAACCATCTGTAATGAGATCTGGTGCCCTCTTCTGGCCTGCAGGCATATATGCAGATAGAACATTCATACATATAAAATACATAAATCTTCATTATTATTTTGAGCTATAGACTCTAGACATATTATATTTAAAACAGCAAAGGTAGCCACATGTTTACTGGAATAATGCTGAGGTATGTAAATTAAAGGTGAATTGCTAACTGCCCTTGCATTCCATCTATAGTGTAATCCTGCTAAAGGCTGGGTCTCTGCTTCTATAAACAAGTATTTAAGAGCATCTGCCTTTTAAGTGCTGGGGATCAAACCTAAGGCATTCGAGGCAAGCACTCCATCACTGAGCTATACGGCCAGCACCAGCCTGTTTTTAAAATGACAGTGTTGTTGTTTCTCCCTTAGATGTGCAGTCAGCACAGCTTGGTGCTTGCTGGCCCAGGCTTGTGGTCCAGCTACTTAAGAGGTGGAAGGAAGAGAACTAAGAACTTTAGGTCAGATGGGGCTACAGAACAAGATTCTATTTCAAAAAAGAAAAGAAAAAGCTGGGGCCAATGAGCAGCTTTTTCCAGCAGGAAAAGGCATTTACCACCAAGCCTGAGAACCTGACGTCTGATTCCCAGGACCCATTTGGAGACAAGAGAACTGACTCTTGCAAGCTGTCCTCTGACCTCCACACATGGTAGACTGCCAAGGTGTGTGCACAACAGATAATAAAGAAATGAAAAAGTCCCGGCTAGGCATCCATGACTCAGTGTTTTACAGTTCCAAAACCCCCCACTGCACAGCTGGAGTCTAATCCAGTTAACCATTCATTCCTCTACAGATGGAACTTGGGTTGTATGTCTTTTTTTTTTTAAATATCAACAATTTCTGATAAACATACTCGTCCTTACATAATGGAATCACTGGTAATTATCCCCTTGTCCCTGTTGCACCAAGAACACTTAGGATAAAGGCAGTATATATGATTCATATAATGTTCCCCTTGGCTCAGTAATATGAACATATTTAATACTATTTGTATGATTAGAAAAGTTACTATATCGTATAATTAGAAAAAGAAAATGGGTGTGGTGAGTCATGCCTGTAATCCTGGAACTTAGAAGGCTGAGGCAGGACTGCTTGAGTTCAAGGTCAGCAGGTCGACACAGAGAGTTCTAAGCTAGTCAGGGCTACAAGTGTGAGAGCCCATCTAAAAACAACAAAACAAATCAAACAAAAAAGGAAAAGAACTTAAACCAATATTTTCCTGTAACCTGTTTTCATACTTTTCTCTATTCCTTAATCCATATGCCACGGTCTATATTT